TGGACACGGCGGCGACGGCCGCGGCGCAGGGCTCAGGCGGGACGATGGGGAACGGGATGTGCTCCCGGAAACAGAAGCGGGTCTTCCAGACGCTTCTCCTGCTCACCGTGGTGTTCGGCTTTCTCTACGGCGCGATGCTCTACTACGAGCTGCAGACGCAGCTGCGGAAAGCCGAGGCAGTGGCGCTCAAGTACCAGCAGCACCAGGAGTCCCTCTCTGCCCAGTTGCAAGGTATGGTTAACGGGACGCGCGCGGCCAGTGGCAAACTTTCCCCGCGCCTCCGCCGGGAGAGTGGCATTGGTGACTCATTGTCACCGCGGGTGCCACCTCTAACCTTCAAGGATTTCCGAGAGAGAGTGAGCCAGGCTGCGGGGCCCCAAGGTCAGAGGAGATGTCACCCCTCTCCTGTAACCCAGCGGTTGCGCTTGAAATCGGTTGCCCCAGGCTATCATCCCGGGTTTGCTGGACCGGGGCCCTGGGAGTCCTTACCAGACCGCTTGTCAAGGGCCCGCTACAATCCGGCAGAAGAGCCTTCCAGACGCTTCTGCCAGCCCATCCCAACAGGCACGGTTCCGGGTTTTTAGGTAACTTACTTTCCAGTGGATTTTGTCAGTCACCTCTCAAATTGCTGGTTTTCGAGGGATATTTAAATTATGACTTAACCCAAACTTAACTTTGGCCCTGTCAGATGGAACTTAGAGATGCTAGTTGTTTTTATTTTTTAAAACTCTTTTAATTAGGTGATTTGAGAGATGTTGGGGTGTGTGAGAAAAGTCCACTGTTTAATTGTTCACCATCCTGCAAGTATTTCTTTTTAAAGCTTGTCTTTAAAAGACTGTTACTAGCTAATCACACAGTATGTGTGTGTGTGTGTGTGTGTGTGTGTGTGTGTTTCACATTTAGTCTTGTGAAGTCAAAGAGGAGAAACACATTTTTGCCTTGCCTAGGCAGAGCAAACAAAACTGGAAAAAAACCTATACAAACCCATAGAAAGACTTAAGCTTGTATCCTATTTTAGAATCTCATTTAACATAAATTGGAGAAACATAAATGATGCATGACTGAAAGGTAAGTTCCATGTGGTCTTGTTATGAATATAACATATCTATATTTATAAACACACGCACACACATATATGGGGGGGAGCTTTTAGCTTTCAACTGCACTTATTTTCAACACTTATGGAGCTCCCACCCACCAAAGCAGTAAGTAGAGAAATACAGTTTTTGCTGATAATGCAAATATAGCTTATTTTATATTTCTAGGTAATTACAAGCTGGAAGGGGTTTCTTTCTGTGTATGTGTATACAAATGTAAAACAGATGGCTTTTTCTTACTGTAGGTATTCTGTGTGTTTTCTAGTAAAAAATTTAAGATGAGAGAAAATGATATGCAGCTGATTGCTTGGTCTTATTTGGTCTTCCCAACTTAGAAGAAAGGAAAGTATTTTTAGCTCATTGAGCCATAGGCAATGAAAATAATGTGACTGGACTTGGTTCAAAATGAAAGCCTGTTTTGATACACTTTTAGGTTAAAAAATTAAACATGTTGAAATGTACCCATGAGTTGTATTGGAAAGGTAGCTATTTACTTATTTATTTAGAAGTTATATGAGGGCCGGGGATTTAGCTCAGCGGTTCGGTGGCCTGCCTTGCAAGAGCAAGGACCTGAGTTCAATCACTGGTACCAGAAAAAAAAAAAACAGAAGTTATAAACAGCTTCTTGGTGAATTTTAGTGCAGTTAGACCAAGGGAAAACTTAATGACTAGCAGTACAACAAGAGGAATGGATTTTCAAAAACATGACTGGAAGGGATGTCAGAGGGATTGTGGGAGGTTTTGTGCCTGTGTTTCTTAGTTTAGAAGTCTCGTAGAGGCAGGGACTACATTTTCACCATTATATCCTCAGCACTGCACAAGTGCTATCAAGTGCCTGACACCCATAATGACAGAATATAGTTATTCAGGTAACAAAAATTAATCCCAAGCACGTTTGTCTGTTTTCTTGGGTTTTATGCTTGTGTCTCTGCTTTTTGAAAACTCAACCAAATAACAACAAAATAGTTTGTCCAGTAGCTCCATTGCCTCAGTTATTGATAAAACTTCATTGCCTCAGATGCTGAAGCTTGTTGAATGAAGCCCTCATTCCATAATCACAGACTTTATTTGCAGTATTCCACTAATTTTCTTACTCCTTTGATTTGCCTTTGTTTTGGTGGTGGTGGTAGTGTTGGAGATGCTGATGAATGGTGAGTCAGGATCATTAAAATAGGAATGTCCCTGTCTAGTTTGAGCAGGCGGGCTTCAAGTTCATTTCTTAATTTACTCTTTTGCCATTTCCTTTTGAGTTGTTGTGCTGCAACATATACCATATGATTATGTAGGAAGAATTATTTCACAAGCAGGCTAAAGATTCTTTTCTTTAAAATGTATTCACTCAACTTCTGACACATATACTGTGGATTTCATATCCACAGGCCATTTAATGATCACTTTCTGATAACGTGCAGCTTTTGCTTTTCTTTTCATTTACAAATGATATTTCACTCTGCAGTGCTACGTACCGCCTGGATAGATGGGTTTCTAGGGCATCTCGTATTGTATTCTTGTGATTTGTTTAATAAGGTAGAATATCTTGACCTGGCTTGGATTAAGATTGGCTTTCTTTTAAAATATGACTCTTGAAAAAGTTTAAGCAGTTTAGTTCTATTGTCTGATAGTACTATACACTTATTAAATAATAAGCTTATCTAGGTCATCGTTTATTGAAGAATAGGTTATACTCTAGAGATTCCTTTGAAAGTAGGTTATTTTTACCCCAAGAACATTTTGTTGTAGAATAGTTTCATAAATAGGAAATGGTGAGAAAGGTTGATGTGAAAAAAGTTCAGATTATGCCACACTCTCAGCTAAAAGAAATCTGTTTGTCTGCCTGCCTGCCTACCTACCCATCTCTCTTCTTCCATCCCTCTCATTCTGGCATTGAAGTTACATGGAGGAATAGGGCAGAGGTCATGTGCTGGTGGCAGAAATAAACTTTGGCCTGTGCAGCACTTACTTAGCATTAACAAAATACTTAAAAGTATATATGAATAGTTTTACTGTTCTCAAGCATTCCACGTGCCCTTCTGTGTGTCTGTAGGTGGTATTTCTTAGGCTGGGCTGCACATTAGGTTCACCTAGCTGTTCCCAGACTAATTAGGCCACAGTATTGGGGGGTTGGGGAAAACCCAAGCTTCAGCAGTCTGTGAAGTTCTCCAGGTGATTCCAATTCCAAAGTGCAGCCATAGTTGAGAACCACACCTCTATAATCTTAAAACCGAGCCTCTTCACACATCTCCCTTACTTGCTTGGCCCTAGACATTCTCATGCTTTTCCCAAGCATGTGTTTAAAAGCAGACCTGTCTCTACAGTATCATTCATATTTTACTTGCACATCTTTTGTGTGAATTTGGACCTCATTGTTCTTATTGGTAAAATGGAGGTTAGAAAGACTCATAGGTGTATTGTGAGAAGTAAATACAGTAGTGTGTGTACAGCCATTAGCACAGACTTGGCACAGAGCAGGAACTGCTTATGAAACCTGAGCTATTGTTATCATCAGAGTTCCTCTCTGATGTCTCTTATTCTCTTCGCATGGTTTGTGGTAAAATTTTGAAATGGACTGAATTTGTGTTTCTAGATAGTCACTCCTTTCTTTTTTTCCAAATGAACATCAAGAAAAACAGTAAATCAAGTGTCCTTTACTCTGGAAAAGAGCTATTCCTTGACAGTGTAAATGTAGAATTAGAATATGATTACAGATAAACTGTGGATCATGTCAGTTTAGGAGATGGATGCAGCTTCTCAGGCAGTAACCATGTGCAGTAAGATCTGAAGAAAGAATACTGAACTTTTTTTAAAAAGATACTTAGTGTAGAGTAAAAGAGTCTATATTCCTAAAACACTGTATTACAGTATGTATTGTGATACTTTTGCTGTTCCAAGTGATGACCAGGAACCACTGAGAAGAGTTTATGTAATGTAAATATGCAAATATGTACTGTTTCAAGTAACTGTTGTAATTTTTATAATAAAAAGTTGGTGCTTATAAATGTCACGTGTGTCGTGCTTGTATTTTGTTCCCCTATACCCTTTAGCCCACTAGTCTAACCATGAAGACACATTATAATTGATTAGTTTCTTATTTTTCACATGTTCTTTTGACAAAGAAAAGTTCAGAACCAGACTTCTTTTTTTTGAAATTCTTTCATTTATAGTGCCTGATGCCTGGCCGGTAGCAGGTGGTCAGTAGGTATAGGCCTATACCTATGTTATAATTTCTCCCTGCCTTTGAATGTGTTTATTTAAGGAAGGTAGTAATGTGTAGTAGATATGGGCTGAGAAGCCAGAGTTCTTTGGTTTAATTTCTTTTATCCTTTTTATTGGATCTGTCATCTTGGGCAAGCTGGTTAACTTCTTTGTGATTTATTTTCTTCATAGGTAATAATCAGGATGATAATGTTTATAATTGTTGCAGAAGCTAGTGTACAGTGTTTGGAACAGTGAAGCTTGCATTTAGACTATTGGGAAAACTCATATGAAACAAGGTGGTTCACAGACCTGTGTGACTTAGACCTCTACAGTGGGCAGTGTGTGGTTAAGTGTAGTCATCTTCACCTGCAAAGTTAGGACTTACAAATATTAATTAGACATTGCCCATTCAATAGACATCTTTACTGAAGTATATTTTACAATTAAAAGGAGATACTTATCAAGCTTTTGTAATTTAAAAGTTATCCTTTAAATTCAGGGTTTTCTTTACATGTAAATTCATTTCCTGATTAAAAAATTAAAACTTCTAGATGTTTTTTGAAACTCTGACTCAGTACAGTCTTCTATAAAAGAATCTGCAACCCCTACTGTGCATTGTGCCTGCCTTAGTCATTTCTGTAAAGTGGAGCATGTCAACTCTGTAATGAGAATAAATTTTGGCTGACCCCATTAGAGAATTACACACGATTAAAAATCTGTAGTTTGGGTTCTAAATTGATTGGAAATCTCATCTTCACTTTTACAGTTTTTTCTCTCTTAGCAAGGACAGTTTTTATAAGATTGGAGCACAAGACCAGATTTCAGTGATTGAAGGAATGAGTGAATTTGAATTAGGCCTGAAGATGGTGTAGACCAAAAAGCAAAGAATTTGAGAGAAAAACTTGTATCATATCTTCATATCTTCATGTTCTTAAAGTA